TACCGTGGCGTTTAGGTGTTTCATTTCGCGCCGGAGATAAGCGCAGATTAGTCGACTGTTGCGCCTCGGGCATAAATCAACTCGAGGAATTTTCGTCGGGATTTTCCTTCGACGCTTTTCCATTGCGACCGACTGAACTCTCTGAGGTGCACCTTCGTACGTACGCTCGTTCGTTCGGTCCTAAAACTTTTGTTTTTCACTCCCCGTCCCAACTATTGTGAACAACTGTACTTCTCGCAAATAGACAAAATCGTTGGCGGAAGCAGGCAATACAAGAGCGAAATGGCCATGTGTAAGATTTCAATATATGGTTAGGAAAAAATGGCTCCTGATGCAGGGATTATCGCTGTTACTTCAAAAGAAGGCAAGTTTTTCCCATAACGCTTGTAAATAACGTGCCAGCATTGTACATTTGCTTTCGTTTCACGGGAGTTGCAATGCATAAATTTACGGATAGGTGCTTATATACTTATACTTGATTGCTCCCCAAGGGTTTCAATTCCTTTTAGCGAACGAAACAAGCTGTTCGCTTATCGTAAAACCAAAAGCGTATGCCATATACGGATATAAAATGTACCGACACTCTGTACGCGCAACATGTAGAAAGTGAGTACTAAGCCTGCGTGGAAATTTAAAATGTAATTGCTGTGACGGGTCCCAGGAAAGGATTTGAAACAATAAAAAAGAAAAAAGGATAAAGACAATAAACATCCAACTTGGAAAGCCATTGTAAAATATTCTGCTAAAGCTTTCAAAAACAACGACATGGATATAACAATGGACGATGTGCGGCCATTTTCATGAAGTATACGTATAGGTACACCGCCGGAAAAATTTCACACGGGCCACGGAGAATCCAAAGTACGATGTTAAAACGATATGCACATTGAAAAACACGTGCAAACGTTCACACGCATTTGACTAAAAGAGATGGAAAAATTGTTCCTGGTTTTTGGGTACACACCTACACGGGTACCAACTATATATCTGGCAGTCGCGTAAACGCTGATATACATATATATACACTCAAGCGTAAGAGAGAACAAAAGTGTACCTATACCTCGAAATTCCTCGCAGCCCCGAAAGTTCCCATTATATATGTATATGCGTCTCGGAAGGAGAAAACTCGTCTGTGTCCCTCTGCCGCTCGGTTTACTTAGCCCCCGAGCCGCGGGTGGGTCCTACGTAGAGCTCTTGAGCTTTCCCGCAGCGAAGATCGCCAGCCAGCGTGTCGCCAAGCTACCGTCTCGCCCTTCCACTCCTTCGTCCCGTCCGAGAAAATTCTCCCGCAGGTTTCCACGCGTCCCTGATGCTCTCCTTTGCCTCTCCCCGTCTTATCTTTTCCCCGAGCCTATATATATATATACATGGTAAGAGGCAAGGATGGCATCAACCTTTTACCGCACCTGCACGCATTTCGTTGCCCTTCGCAACCTTTTTTTCCGACCGGGTATACTCCATTTTTTTTTTTTCTTCTTCTTCTTCCTCTCTCCGGTGCTCGCCATTTTTTCGGGGGTTTTCCAGTGGAGCAAATCCGACTCTCGCTTGAAAATCGTACAAAAGGCACGCCGAGTGTACAAAATACACAAGTCTCTCACTGCCCGGCAAGATTTTATCTTTATAGCGAGTGAATCACACCGTATACTCACAAGCTCCCAAGAGTTGTGAAGTTTATACTTCCTTCGTAGAAGTTATACCGAGAGCTGCGCGTCTTTTCGAAAACCCTGGAGATTCATTAACTCATTTACTTGTACCCTACCGTGAATGTGTCGGGTACTTATTTCCTTTACTCTAAGGTTTTACCACGAACCTTTGCTTCCGATGCACGCACACATTTTGACAATTTTACCGTTAATTTGCTGGTGTGCCTGGAAAAATAAGTACAAATTATTTGTAGCGTCTACGATTTCCTTTCATTATACGTTAGGAAAAATATAAACTACTGTCCCCAACAATTTGCAAAGGCCCAACTCCCAATTATCATTTTGGAAAAATAATTCTTGCATGAGAAAAAAAAAAAAACAAAAAAAAAAAAAAACACATCCCGCATGAAACGCATATAATAATCATCATCATCATCAAGTAAAAATGAGCTGTGGCGCTGCACAGTCTCCCCACCCAGACGCGAGCCTCATAAGGGTGGAGCTTATACACCATGTGTACGTGGCCATGGGGTGGGCACCTTTTTTAGCGTTACCTTTTTTTTCAGCAGCAACGCGAACCCCGTACAATATATATGTATTTTCCCTTTTGTACTACATGCATATGTGTGCCTACACGTAAAGAATATATTGGTCGTCCTGAATGGACGCTAGAGTACATAGAGGGGGGATGGGGCGAGAGAGTGAGAGTGAAGAAGGGAAGGGAAGAAGCACCGCCGAGCCGTAGAGGGAAAAGTCGTGCGGCGAGCGGGGCTGTAAAGTTCTGACAGTCCAGACGGCACCGTCAAGTTCAGTAGTTCTCGTGTGCGTGGGCAGGTAGGACATATTGCATGTACCCAACTCGGTGGTGCGTGCTCCCATATCCACCCAAAGTCACACAAGTATAAGCGCACTTTTGACTTTTGACGCGTAATTTTTACTCTCTAGCGTCAAGTAATTATTCAAACTATTGGCAATCTTCTTTCAAACTGTATGTACAATCCAAGTGCAGTGCGGCTATTTGTACGAGTGGGTTGACGATGAAAGAACGCCAACGGTTGATCGGGTGCAGGGTGCTCTGAGTGGACTTTTAATCGAGGAGTTGTACGTTTTTCCACAATTTTCGGTTGAACAAAACAATAAAGTAAAAATAAAAAACAACAAAGAACACGAGGACAATGGTGTGCAATCAGTCGGCCGAGTCGGCTGATTTCCTGCAGCCCAACAACAACAACTACTACTACAACAATAATTACGATTTCCCGGCCAGAGTTGAACCGAATAACATGGCCGTTTATTCTGGATTCGTTAAAAAACCTAGTAAAAAGATCAATAGTACGTACAATCGTTTGTTTTAATTTCTTTTTCTTTATTTTTTTCTTTTTTTTTTATCGTGTATCGCTTGACACTTTTAATTTACGTTTAATCACTTGACCTTGAACTTTTTTTTCTTCTTTTTCTACGCACAAGGGGGGTCGTTGATTTCAAAAATGTAATACGAGCTGATTGCCAGCCGGAATCAGTGCGTGTATTGTTGGCGATAAAAAATAGTTAAAAAATATATTAAGACCTATGATTGACGAGGAATGGCTGTATACACGTTTTACTCTTTTATTGTTGAAATCGAAGCATCGCAGTTAAGTAACGGACGAAAAAAGAGAGAGAAAAAAAAAAAAATAATCGATAGCTACCTCGGTTATCAGCGTCACGACTCATGTTACGATTACAGATTTTTTAAGTGGCACGACGCGTATTACCTCACAACGGAAGTACTTGATATGTATATGGAAAAGGACGAAAGTGTCGTGTTGTTGCGACCGGCGATTTTCAACTCTTTCCTCCCAAAAACCTGTAGTAATATGTACAACAAAGGTTGTAAACGCTACAATTTCCACGGTAAAAAGTAATACACGTTCTTTTGGTCATCCAGTCGACACGCATACACGCAGCGGAGCTTTCACAATACGCGCGAAAGCTCGAAATGGCGCAAGCGCTCGCGAGCGCCCGCCCCGCGTATATACACACGTGAACGTACAAAATACAATATACATTATATATACATGTGGGCGCGTGGGTGTCGTGGGCGTTCGTTCGCTCGCCTACAGCACGAGTATCGTGTATGTACGCGTGTATATACGCCTTGCGAGCGAGACAGACAGCTACGCCATTTTCTTTCTACTGCGAACACTGCGAACTGGGATTCGCTCAATGGTCGAGCGGTGATTTTTTTACCTTTCTCACGTTGACCAATCAATTCGGTTTTACGTAAAACATTGTACAAGGTGTTTAATCATTGTCCAGGGTCTTACAAGCGTGTCGTTCAATAATATAATATGTATACCCTTTTAGTGTACATATGTATTCTTTATCCTTACTTGTAAGGTATATATTATGCCGAACAACCTCTATACTAGGCGTTGTTTCAATAAAATAAAAAATAAATAAATAAATAAAAAAAAGTCCAACTAAATGTCACGTCCATACGATGTATATGTAGATACGCGCGATACCATTTCAACATTTCAACATCAGAGGCGAGATTTATGTATATAACATAAAGTAATAGAGGGCTCGTAGCGGAATAAGACAGACAGGCAGACAGTAAATTGGGGGTGGGGGTGTTGAATTTAGAAGAAGGACGGAGAGGGGGAAAAAAATGCATTATTCAGAGGGCGAACGGTACGAATTTCCATTCGCGAGGGAATACGTATATACACCCGTGGACGACCAGAAGCGATGATGGGCGAAAAGCATCGTCGTTAGGCTGCTCTCTTCTGCAGCTGTATACATCATATATAACGCAGGACAAATAATAATATATGCGCCGTCGCTCTTTTAATGATCATGCCTTGCCATTTTTTTTTTTTTTTTTTTTTTTTTTTTTTTTTTTTTTCCTTCTCGCTCCTCCCTCGCGCGCGCGCGCGACCGATCCGTCTCACGTCCCGATTTTTTTTTTCCCATGGCTGGTCCCCAAGGAAAAATGGAACTTACGTGAGGGAAATAATAGCTGCGCNTTTTTTTTTTTTACTCCTCCCTCTTTGATGCTCCCATGTACCTTCTGTATGTATTGTTGTAGGGTACGCTGTTCGTAAATATACGTAACAACGTCAATGGACCACCTTATTGCGATCGTTACGTGATAACGGAGTGCTCTGCTCTATTACTTTTGTTACCTTTTTTTTTGTTCTCTCGCTACCTCGAGTCACGCAAACGATTCCTAGATAACTGCAGCCATAGTTATTATACGTGTACACCCTCCGCTCCTACATCGATCCCGAACAAAACGAGAGGATACTCCATATTAAAAAAAAAAAAAAAAAAAAAAAAAACTAAATGTCACGATTTGTTTGTCGATTCCAGAGCAAGCACTCGTCACCGGCAGCCTGCAGCTCCTCCAGGACCCGCAGTTGCAGCAACTCGTCAACTTCCAGCAGGTCCTGCCGTACTTCAACAACCCGAGCCAGAGTCCCCCCGAGCCGTTGCAGAGCAACAACAAAAACAACCACGTGAACCACAACCAGGTGACCACCGGAAACAATCATATTTGCAACGACAACAACAACAACCACCACCACCAAATAGTCAGCGCGGGGGGTCACAAGAACGGGAAGCAAAAGCAGATAGTACTGCAGGGTCCGGAGAGCGCGATGAAGGCCAAGAGCAGGGACGCGGCGAAGCAGCGCCGCGAGAAGGAGAACCAGGAGTTTACCGAGTTGGCGAAACTCCTGCCCCTGCCCGCGACCATCACGACTCAGCTCGACAAGGCGAGCATCATCAGGCTGACCACGAGCTACCTCAAGCTACGCAATCTATTTCCCAATGGTGAGTTTTTTTTTTTTTTTTTTTTTTTTTCCATCAACCGATCATTATCATTATATTGTTGGATAGTACATACGCACCGACGCTTTTTTTTCCCCCTGGGTGGTGCACCTAATTGTCCATTAAACCGCTGACGTTGAGCAATAGAACGAGGGCGGATACATTGCGTATACTATGACACTCGGGACACCTGCCCCCCCCCCCTCCTCTCTTACTTATACTTTTTCCCACTTTGGAAGAGCAAGAAGAGCAGGAGAACAATAGACTAGTCTTGATTTCGCGTCGCGAATAAGTATGTACGCGCTAGCGTGTACAACACGATGTACCTATACGTCGTACGCACCTTTTGTTAATTCATCTCGGCCGTATATATGCATATAGAGGGATGGAAAAAAAAAAAAAAAAAAAACGACGCACAATAGGTACCTCTGTATGTGTACGGGTAGCGGGGGGTGTGTGTGTTTTTTTATACATAGGGTGACGCAAAGGGCAAATAGTATCGGATGAGATGGCCGTGATTGCGCACTTAATGCATTGTATCCGCTCTACATGTATATATATATACGCACCCTCTCTCTTGTACCTCATCTATACCTATATACGGGGGTGGGAGAAGGTACCGCGTGTTTTAGATTCATGGTTTTACGCTCCTCTTTTCTCTCTTCCCCCCCCCCCCAACCCCCTGTATATGTGTATACACGCGTGCTTGATGTCGATTTACACCACCAGAGACATCGGCGAATTGAATTTCAAGTGGCCGCATCCCTCTGTCGTACACTTGTCTACATATACGTATAGATATACTCGCGAACTAACGTGTGGTAGATATATGAAGGTTTTTTTTTTTGGAGGGATGAGGGTGTCCGTGGCAGGAAAAATCACCGAGTTTCCGCCGGAACCACTTTTGCGCCAAAGTACTTTTGTATCAAAGAACAGGGTGGGGGGGGAGAGAGAATCATATCGTGTATCGATGGGAAGGAGAGCGTGCGATGTGTTTTTTCTTTTTATTTTCGCAGCATTAATCCAGGACGAATTGGTACATCGGTAAGGTTGAATATTCGTGTTCTTTGTATATCGGTGAATTCCCACAAATGGATGTCACGCGCGAGAGCTTGTATTAACACGGATAAGCATCGATCGTCAACGAGACGCGCTCTTTCTCCTGTCTTTTGCATCATCATCTCAAGGAAAATTCTCCCTTGGCGCGCCGAGTGGTATATATATATATACACGCGACACCCCACGGATCTCAGATCGAGAGATGCCGATCGGCAGCAAGAGACGTCGTCGCGTCGATACCCGCGCTCCTTTCCTCCCAAGTATGTTAAATACACGCGCGTGTACTCGTATCTTGGCTTTGGAATCTATCACTTCTCTATGGCACAAAGGAGAAAACGCGCGACGCCTCTCTAACCGCACGAATTAAGTATGTGAATTCGTAACTGTGCGTGTACAACAATAACGCGAGATCTGTCGATTCGACGCGCGTTGACGAGTGATTTGTCACATGTTTTCGAATGCGAACGTGGTTCGACGTGAAAAACGGCACTCATAATAATACCTCCCCCCCCCCCCTCAAATCTAAGGGGAAAAAAGGGAGTGACAACCGTCTCACCGCCTCCGGACTAACGTCAAATATATACATGTATCTTATGTACAAAACTCGTCGGGCGATTTTCCGCGCAACTTAATGTTTTCCCGCTACAGGAGGGAAAAAAAAAAAAATTGCGCGCAAATTAATGCGCGAACACGCGGTCCCATCACCGTCTACCTGTAATGTGGGTACACATACACACGCGGCCTCGCCACCACAAGTGCCGAGCATTAACATATTTACAATCCGAAGGTCGGGATCTCCTTTTACTCTCCTCCGATGCGTGTGGGGGTGTTTTCTTTTTTCTTTTTTCCCCCCCACAAAAATTGTGTAGGTTTTTTAGGGGCGACATGTTCTCACACCTCCTTTGCTGCAAAATATGATACAAATGTAAACCTTTTCTTCCGTTTGTCCGTTCAGGCTTGGGAGACGAATGGGGCGCGACACCGCCTCTGAACCATCCCAGGGCCGAGGGGAGCATCAAGGAGTTGGGCTTTCACTTGTTACAGGTACGTTTCACACGTGATGTATTATTTGATTAGCGTCCAATGCATCCATCGTGTCAACTCGGCAATAATGTTGTTTTCCAGACGCTCGAGGGTTTTGTCTTCGTCGTGGCGCCGGACGGCAAAATCATGTACATCAGCGAAACGGCCAGCACGCACTTGGGCCTGTCGCAGGTAAAGATCCTTTTTTTCGCGCAAGCATGGGTGGCCCAAAATGTGTCCAATTTTGGTAATGAATTTGTCGTGCGACAGGTGGAGTTGACGGGCAACAGTATATTCGAGTACATCCACCCTCAGGACCGCGACGAGATGAACTCGATGCTGAACTCGGCACCGCCGAGTCACCCGCCGCCGTCCATGAACGCCCAGGGTGACATTGCGATTCCGCGTACCTTTTTCATCCGCATGAAGTGCGTCCTCGCCAAGAGAAACGCCGGCCTCACCAACTCGGGTTACAAGGTAAGCCCATAGCGTCCATGAGCTGTTTTATTACTTTGTGTGGGTGGGTTGAATAAGTCAAGGAAGAAAAAAACAACAACAACAACAACAACAACTTTTACCATAATATATATATACGCCGGGCTGATGATTATTGATGTATAAGTTTGTTGTTGTGCCCATACTTGTGTATTGATCCGTGTCTTTTGTCTTTTTTCTTTTTTTGTGTAAAGAATTATTATCGGAGGGACGGAGTGGACTACGCGGAGCCGATGAGCAATGAGAATCCAAACGATAGGTGGAAGGTAAATAATCAGCCAAAAGTTTAATTGCGCTTTTTCGGTGAGCTTTTTGGGCTCTACGTTCATATATACTAACCGTTCATTCCCTTCATTCATCGCTAATAATGTCCTTACACGGAATTTTATCTGCATTATTATTTTTTTTTTTTTTATTTTTTTTATTTGCTTACTCGTTCGATAATAATTAGTGCACTGATGATTATTTAATCGATTTCTACTGTAGTACGAGGAGAAAAATCAAACAAGTGTAGCTGTATTGAACGAACAAACAGACAAACAAACGAGGAGAGAGTGTCTCTTTAGAGTGGGCTTTTACGCGACGTAAACGCCGCTAAACAAGACGTTCACTCGTACAACGAGAATATACGCACAAAAGACGTCGGAGTTGGCGTGAAAAAAAAAAAAAAAAAAAAAGAAAGAAAGAACGAAAGAAAGGGAAAGAAATAGGGAAGGGACCGACTGCTTTTGTGCGCACTCGGTCTCCCCGGTGCACTTGACTCGCACGGAGAGAATAAAGAAAAAGAGGACAGAGCATCCTTTTAGGGACAAATCGAGCGAGCATGTGTATAAGTTTCCTTATGACGTACACTTGGGTTTTCAAGTAAATAAAATGTACACCCTTAGCCCTCGCTTTGTAATGGCAACAAGCGCATCATTTATTGGCTTCGCGGTTCTATCGAGGCTACCGTAGTAAGTAGTAGTTTTACGGGTGTCTGAAGCAAACACGCACACGTATAAACGGAGACGAGAGGGAGAGCCAACGTTCGCGCACTTACCAAAGTTAGTGCCGTAAAATTAGGATATTAGGTACTCACAGAGAGACAGAAGGCTGGTACGGTAGAGGGGGCGCGCGAGGATTTAAACGTAAGTACGTCGTATAAACGCCCAAGTGCCATTTCGGGCCATTGGGGTTTTTATTGATTGGATTCGTCGACAGATGTTAATTGATGCAATGTGTACACTGTTGAACACTGTCTGCCCGATAGCATTGGGATTTCGTGATTGACGTAGTGTAGGTATTTGACAAAAAGCTCACGTTACGCGCATCGTTGAGAAAAAAAAAAAAAAAAAAAAAAAAAAAATGTATTCAAAATGCAAATCCAAGGAAAAAGAAAGAAGCCTCTTTTCATAAAATTTCAACTTTCCCTCAAAGGGATGCAAAGAGGCAAGTATAAAAAAAAAAACAAGTACCCGCGTACAAATATGTATGTTACGCGTACGAGAAAAAAAAGAGTTACACTTGTCCGTATACGCGCATAAATGACTGAAAGCTTTCGACTTTTGCATTGGCTGAGTAAGTGCCCGGATGATGTATACGCATTTCGCGATGACTCGTTTTCTCCATACACGAGGGGGTGCTTCTGTAAGTCATCACGAGTGAATCAATGTACAGCTCGTGCCGACGTTTTCATCCGCGCGTTGTATTTGCAAATAGACTCCCGAACCCTCCAAAAGCCAATACTCCAATTGCCAATGTTCATTCTCAAGCATACGTTTCTCCGAGTCAAAGGAAAAAAGGATACAGTAAATACGTACATCACCTCCCACCGGTGCATGAAAATGACGAGATTTATGCACACGCACTTTTCATACAAACATGTATTATACATAGGTATAAAACGTGTGTAAAAAGGCGCTGCACATCCGCTCGGAATTGGTAATTTTCGGTGGGCGTGTCGCCTCTCTTGCATTTTTGTTGTTGTAATTTTTCCTCTTCGAAAACAATGTATGCCGCGCGATGGTGTCGCAAGTACCATCAACCTCGTGCACACGGGCGCAAAACACCGCGCACGCAATACACTTAATTGGGGGTGTTTTTTTTTTTGCGCGCGTGCATCCATCAGGCGGTAGGTGACGCATAAAATGCATTAATTTGCCCGAGAGGACAAGTATAGGTACGTGGTACAACAACTCCGGGCTCAAAGGCGTATAGGTATACCTACACGGTCGGCACCGGCTTTTGATATCCCCTCGCAAGCGCACCGCCGTTTGACACTCCTCTCTCTCTCTTTGTCTTTATTAACATATCGTCGAGATTGTTGATTTGCCGGCTCGTGCGGCTTTGCCCTCGACTGCGTTTGTTTATTAGCGGCTTATTTGCACCCTCGCGTGCGTAGCGCGTTGTTTTTTTTTTCTTTTTTTTTTTTTTTTTTTTTTTTTTCCCCACGATGCGCGTAACGNTTTTTTTTTTTTTTTTTTTTTTTTTTTTTTTTTTTTTTTTTTTTTTTTCTACGCACTCGCACCCTTCGAGTATACCTCCCTTTCTTCTTCTTCTTCTTCTTCTTTTGTCCTTCCTCTCCACGAAATTAGCTACTTTCGGACTTTTTCGTGGGAATCGGCATCTCGTGAACATATCTAATACATTATACTTTGTTGCGTTTTAATCAGGCGAAACGACAAACCTGCATAATAATATGATGTACGTATTGAAAAACCAGTGGAGCAAACCAAGATTAAAAACCCCCCACCTCTCGATTCGTGTTTCAGGTGATTCACTGTTCGGGTTACCTGAAGCTTAAGCAGCTCGCCAATCCGGAGTACAGCGACGGGGCGCCAAATGGCACCGTAAGCCCTTACACGCTGCACAACGTCGGCCTCGTCGCCGTGGGCCACTCGTTGCCGCCGAGCGCCAACACGGAAATCAAGATGCACCGCAACATGTTCATGTTCCGGGCGTCCCTCGATCTCAAGCTCATCTACCTCGACACAAAGTGAGTGTTTGGTTTTTATTCAATACTTACACGCCTTGTTGTATATATTTTCGCCTTTGGGTTCGCTGACCCCCTCGGCTTTGTAATACCAACAATGCTTCGTCAAATTATATACTTAGCTTTTCGTGTTTATAAAATAAGTTTCGTATACCACGTGGCATGTGTAAGTAGTAGTGGTATAATGCGTTTGTTTTTATTTTGTTCACAGCGCCACGAGGCTGATCGGCTACGAGCCCCAAGAGCTCATAGACAAAACTCTCTACAACTACGTACACGTGAACGACAGCGTGACGATACAGCAGTCGCATCATACCTGTAAGTTTATATGCCTAGTTGATTGTACCACTTTTTTAAGTTAATGAAAAGGAGCATGAAAAGACAAGCAAAGTGAAAAACGGCAACATACACCTAAAAAAAAAAAAAAAAAAAAATTCGCTGACGTGGAGAGAACTCGGGGGGAGGGAAACAATAGGATCGATATCAATGCGACGACTAAGAGGGCCGTCAGACGCTCTAGACGAACGAGAAGAGGGAGGGGGCCGACAGGCGCTTTTAATAAGCTTCTTTTCGCGCCTCTTCTTCTCTCTCTCTCTTTTTTTTTTTTTCTCCCTCGTTTTGTTCGGTTTCCAACAAGAGAAAAGGGAAATTAAATAAGCCAATCGTAGCGACAGCCGCCTTAAACCGTGCTCTCGAGTGTTGAAACGATATACCACGCGAATTCGACTATTTCTCTTATAAAAATATTAAAAAAAAACAAAGCACGGATTCCAAGTGATGTCCAAACGAAAAAAAAGGAGCTTCGCGAGGAAGGTATTGTCAATCACGGCTAACCGTATCGTCGCCGCCGTCCATAATTAGCCCCGCCAAAGTTTCGCCGATACGATCTCTCGTCTGTATCATGGGTATACCTTGTGCACACAAAGTATATCGACACATAGTCCATCAGACGAGGATTGAAGGGGGGGGGGAAAAAAAAAAGAACCGATCGATCGGAAGGCTCACCCTGCGCACGTATGCATCATGTACGAGTACAGCTGACACTGCATTTCGGCGCTTTCTATAGCGAAGAAGAGAAAGAAAAGCCCCTCGTTGGTCCCTTTGATGTTCGTCTCCTCTCCTATACATATGTATAACAATGTACCTTGCAAGTACGTGCAAGCGAGAGATAAAACTCTTTCTCGCGTGTACCCACCGCAGCATCTCCTTAAAATCCTCGTACTATTTTTCTTCTTCTCTCGTGCAGCCCTCACGCGACTAATCAGCCGAGACGAAAAAGAAAAAACAAAAAACAAAACAAAACGCGAATGAAGGAAAAACAAAATATAGTTAGTCTTATACGTGACGAATCGCCCCACTTGCCGGTTACTTGTAGGTATTTTTGACTCGGCGCGTTTGATAATACATACACATGAAAAAGCTTGCACTTATATTTGTGCCACACATGTACGAGTACACTTTTTTACCGCTGCCTACTTTTGTATTTAGCTCGTGTTTTGTAAGAATGAAACAAACGTAACTTTTGCCTCAAATATACATGTATACGGTTGAGTTGGGGGCGGGCGCGACTCGACTTACTCCCCCTCGTTTTCAATTGCCACACGTGCAACAGTAGGTATACTTGGTTTGCTCCTTTGTGTACCTATATATGACTCGTGATGTTTCGTGCAGCTGTAGATACGTATGTATTTCAACAAATCTCGCGACATGATAATTATGTATGGCATTTATCTTTGACTTATACTTAATCATCACTCGTCTCGGGCACGTGTAATTCCATGTACCTAATGAGCTTCAAGTGACGACTAACATTCACGAACAACAAGTAGAATCGGTGCATCCGGTGAAACAATGTATATATAGTTACCGATTTTTTGTATCGAGCGACAAAAACGCGATTCTCGAAACGACGACATTTATGTCCGGGAAACTCTTCGTAGGTATACATATTGTACGTATATAAAAATACGCAAGCGTAGGTACAGAAGAAACCGAGAGAAGTTTCGAGTTTTGAATAATCCGTGTATAATATGAACTACAATGAAACGTGCAATCGACGCGTTCTCGGGAAACGGCCTATGTATATTATCCTGCACGGCGCATATATAATATATTATAACACTGGTTATACGTCTTAAATGTTACACTCGTATACGCGCGACTTGTGATACAGGAGTTGTGGGTATATATATCGCGATATCATCTTGCACTCGCGGTTGTATTATATATGTATATTGCAATGCTGATGTACGACTCGTGCACTGTGTGTACCATATACTTAAAAATGGGGGGGGGGATGGTCGAGAAGTTAAAAAGCACTTATTTTGAAGGGCACAGAAATACCGGACTTGAAAATCGACACGAGCAACAATGGCTCGCAAGGGGAAAAAAAAAGTTACAATGCGCGGAAAAACGCTAGTATAGGTTTAGAGAACGAGGAAAAAGCAAGTGGCTAACAATATAGAGAGAGAAAGAGAAGGATATATATATAAGCCCGTCGTCGTACATAGGTATAACCGTCACCGGGAAGCCGTACAGCGAGCTGGAAAATAGGGATAAGTGGATGGGAGGAGCAACGTGGAAGAAGCCTTGTAATAAGAATAGGTATATATATATATAAAATAATAATAATAATATTATGTGGGCGTCGGGAGGCAGAGGTGCCTGTTATATAGCTGGGGTAGGTACCTATACACACTGCACACGCTATCGTTGTTTGAACAGACTCGCACTTTCGCTATACGCGCCCTATACCTATACCATTACCGACTACACAGGGAGATGAATCTCATAAGCCTCAAAGGGATAATGCCGCTGACACGTACACCCACGCGTTATAGTTATGGCCTTTTTCTTCGCCTCTCCTCCTCTGCATCATGTAAATGCATTTACGTGATTGTACGGTCGAAATGTCGAATGTACATACGTAGGTATGTATAATATGTCTCTTGGAGCTTGCGGGGCAAAAAGAACGGACTTTATATAGGTATCCCTCCCCTTGGTGACGTTGCGACGTACTTACTGGCATGGAAGCTATTTTTATTAGCCGCAGCGTAAGGCTGTTCTACACACCCCTCGTATATATATATATACATACAACACTGAAGCAGGACCGAGAGCTTGCGGGATTTTCGTGTCGAGGTCGCGACTCTTGGCGCAAGCGCGCCACAGCTCTCTCTCCCCCTCTGGTTTCTCGCGACAGCTGAATTGATTGCGGGTAATTATATGGAGAAACGGGGAAAGAGGGGTAGCACGTACAATAGGATTTTCCGTGGCGAGGTATGCGCTCTGATTGAAAAGTGCCATTTTACAGGGATATTTCGAGGTGATGGTTGCACGGAGCGGCGCAAACATTTTTCTAGTACTTACAAGTTTAAATGTGTAATGCGTAAATGTACGATGAAGATGATTAAATAAGTAAGTATCATTATGATTTCTCGTTTCAGTGTTGTGGAAGGGCCAAGTGACGACTCGGTACTTTAGGTTCATGACCCGTTCGGGTGGTTACGTCTGGATGCAGTCATACGCGACGATAGTCCACAATTCACGGAGCTCCCGGCCGCACTGCGTCGTCTCGATGAACTACGTGCTCTCGGCCACCGAGGACAAGGAGCTCATATTCGCCCTCGACCAGAAGGCCAATCGCAAATCCTCCCCGGGGCCCAGCCACGTTTCCGCCAACGGCACCTCCACGGCCCCCAAATCGCCCATTGGCAACCCGTTACCCAAATGCGCCCGCGACCTGGCCACGGACGAGCTCCAACAGCCACCCAAGCAACTCAACAGTCCCGTCTCGTCTTACGGCTCCTCGTTGACCGACAACGGCAATCTCGTGGCCGCCGGTGGGGTGCCAGCCATCGTCGACACCCACTACACGACCAGCCCCAGCTGCGCTGGCAGCCCGAATTACGCGAGCTCCGAGTACGCGGGCTACAACGGCACCATGGTACAGACGAGCGCCCCTTACCATCCCGGTGCCCAGACCACGGACGACTCTGCAGCCTACTACCCCATGGACATGTACTACAACCAGGGCTACCCAGGTGAGCGTTTCTTCCACCCTCGCGCCTCTATGCTGCTCCGATTAAGTACAATTATATAAAAAAACTTGAATGTTTACTTGTAGGGTCTACGCATCTGAACGTGGTCCAGCAGCAGCAGCATCCGCAAATGATGCAGCAGCAGAGTCCCATGCACGGGGGTACGATGCAGCCCAGTCCCCATCATCAGCAGCCTCGAGCTGGCCAAAAGAGGTCTTACTCGACCTCGTCGAGTTCGGGGGGTAGTAGCATGGACGAGTCCACGGATCCGTACGTCGGCCAGCACTACACGCCTTATCCGTCCCCGCCGAACCAAGTCCAGCAACACCACGTGCTCGACTCGCCGCCCAACGACGCCGGCGCCGCCATGTTCAACAGTTGTAGCTTCAACGTGCCCGTGTCCACCGGCTACGCGAACGGCTACGACGCCACCAACGCCATACCCATGACGAACCATCATCAACAACATAACGATTACCAGTCCCACCAAATAATCCACCATCATCACGAGGACAACAGGCTGCAGCACCAGTTGCACGTGGACAGTGGCTACGTCGTCGATCACGTGGTCGACATGCCCGTCCTGTACGCCAACACGCCCGAGTACAGTCCGAATAATAATGCGTCGGGCGTGCAGTCCCTGCACCACAGCATATGTTACGAGGGCGTGCCGGGCGCGGAGATGGTCGTCGACGAGAGGGCCGCCAAGAGCCTCAGTGTCTGCTGAACGGTGCTTTGGCCTCCCCCTTTGGCTGTGCACTGTTTGTTTATTTATTTAATTGGCGCGCGTTCGAACTATCGGTATTCATTGAGCGACCACTGTTTGTCTTTCGGTGGGTCTCATTGTACCGAGTGTAAGTAAAAACCGTGTATAGTGAAAGTCGAAGTGATAATTAAAAGTAAACCAGGACCGATCTCTCATTCGTTGCGTTTTGTTGTCGTTGGTTTACTTTTGTACGCGCATTGAATTTACCTGTTGCGAAAATCGGGCTATATCTTGCGTTGCGAAATAGCCGTGCCGATCGCTGTGCGGTGATCGGTTAAGTCGAATTTGTGAACTTTGGGAATTATCGATGCCGAGTTGTACGCGAAACGTGTAATGCGATGTACACATGTATATATATGTAAAATTGACGAAAGGTGTAAGCGCAGTTGAAATACAATAAATACATATAAATATGTGTACGATGATGAAGAAGGATTTCTAGTTGACAGATTTTTAAGGGGGCTCCTTCACAAAAGTCCCCAAACAGAGATATATCATTTCTTGTGAATAAAAGTCTACGGAATTTAATGGTGGTCTAAATTATATTTCGAATGGGTCAAAATTTTGAGAAATCTTAGCTCAAAGTTGTAACTATTAGCACGCGTTCCTATGGGGCAGCGTGAAAAACAATTTGTTTTCGTTTATAATAAACCTAAATTAAATGTCCCAGCAGACTGAATAGATTCGTTTTGTAGATGAAGTCTCCCTTTGTAATATGCTGTATTAAAAATTGTGGTCAAAGGACCATTTTAGCGAGATATTTTTGATGGAAATAAATAAATAGTATCCGGGAGGTCAGTAGCAGACGTACTTGTTCACGACATATATATACCATGTACCTACATATTACATCGCTATACTACACCAACACAGGTGGTCTGGTCTGGTGGTGTACCCTCGTATGCACTAGACTGGTCAAAACAATAATTAATTTTTCGTACAAAGTTAAACTGCACACATAAATATCATTTTTCCCACTTCATATGTTATTAAAAATATTATAATGATTTTCAGAGACATTTGTTTATTGAAAAACAAAACTTTATTTTTTGTTTGTCTTTGACCTCAGCAGTAGTCGTAGGAGCCCCCTTAAGTGTAAATACGAATGATTAGAGTTCGTCATCGTTCGTAGTTTACGTAATGACTGTACCTATACCTAGCGAGGATGTAGAACGATATGATAATTTTAATGAATCCCAAGACTGAACGGTGTTGTGCCAACCGACCAAAGTTATATATCACTTTTGTATTCACACGCGTTATAGTATACGCTGACAACACGATTTTTAACGAGGGATATACTTTGTTCTTTTAATTAAAATTTTCATTCGATATCCCAGCAATAACGTGTTTTTTTTTCTTTTTATTATTATTATTATTATTATTATTATTATTATTTTAATTATTATTATGAATAATCACTCGAGTTTTATAGAAATTCACAAAAACACACACGATTATACATACAATTTACTCGACGGCATGATTATTTATTAAGAGATGACGTAATCGTCAACCACGTAGATAATAGGTCGATTATTTCTATTAAATACAACAAAATGTAAAAAGTACAAGTGTCGCATTCACGTAGAAAAAAAATAAACAAATAAATAAAAACAAAACAAAATCACCGATAGAGACGAAAAACGTTAAAATATGCGAATTGTAAATATTGTACATGTAAATTATTGAAAAAATTTGCGCATTTGCGGTGCCTGTACGCCGAAAATACATACATATATACATTATTTTCCTCTGAAATACTTGTTTTTGCTTTGATTATTTACCGCGTGTTTTCTCAAATCACGAAACTTTTTTTTTCTGTCCATGTACGTACACATACGATAAAATTCTCTCGACATCTGTGGTTGCCAACACATAAATTTCACGTGTCGTGCCAGCAGCAGGTTGGGGCGCACAGCGCGTATGTGTACACTGCTCCTCCAGCACCTGCCCCTATTTCCCTGATTTTCCCGACCCCCTCGATCAGCTTTCGGAGTTTCCACAACATCGACATGCACACGCCAACGGCCCTCGCCTCGATTCAATATATCTCTAAATGACACAATAACCCCATGCGTGTACACAAATAATGATATTGACGATTGGCCAGCGGCGATGAAAAAAATGAATTGAATATATAAGTACACATCAACAAAATCATTGCAGTAAAAGTGCCCAAAGAGAAAAAAAAAAAACAGCGAGAGAGAGAGAGAGAATACAGTCATGAGAAAAAAAAAAAAAAAAAAGAAAAAACAAATTCAAGCGACTGAAAAACGCGACCCCCTGCACGGAAAAGGCAAAACCAAACGCGTAGCCGCGGATCCCACGACTCCAAACAACGAGAACAAACGTATGACGCCTTTTAAAAAACAGGATCGCGCCATCAAAACGAGGGGGTTGAAAGCCAAGGAAAGCGAGGGAGGGGGGTGTTTTTAATTGTTGGCCGGCGTACGGTTTGTTAACAATGCGAGTCCCGGAAACGTTAAAGGGTGGATTGCACGCGGGGAGTTGACGAGTGATGCGCCGCGTGGTGCCGTCAGTTTGGATACGCATTATTCGCGCGCTCCGCGGGAGCGAGACGCGTAGCGTAAGGTTGACGTCCGACGGTGTGGGTACCGATACGTGGGTATTTTTTTTTTTTTCTTTATTTGTATAAATGACGGATGAGGAACGAAAACGAGGAGGAGGAGGAGAAAAACAGCAAAGGCGGAGAAACGGGCACGTGCCGCGGAGGCGGCTATTGTCCGATCAGTCACGGTGAGAATCCACGTAGAAAGAGAGCGTGTATTATGTACGGCGTGTGCCGTGCGTTATACATATACGTGCGTATATATCCCGAAATGTGACATTTCTGTTGTGCTTACTATACATATTGACTTTTATTGTATTTTTATTGACGTAAGTACTGTGATGATATACAATTACGTATAGTCCAAAGCGAAGAATCCGATCGCCCGATCGGTATGAAATCGGCAACTTGTAAATTAGCATTTTCTTACAAGTAACTATGCGTGCACAACAATTCCAAGTATACAAATATTGTAAACGACGAGAAACCGATCGACATGATTATTCGTTTTTTTTTCTCTCTCTCTCTTTCTCGGCACGTGCAGTCGAGTCAACCGTGTAATGTGTACACCGAAAAGCGAGAGAAGACTCCTTTTGAAAAAAGTGAACCCACAGCCGCGAGCAATACACTCGCAGTCGGACGGGATAGTTTTTATAGACGCGAGTGTACGTGTGAGCATGCATGGGCACCGAGTCGCGTGTCACTCGTTAAAATCGTCTTTCCTCTCGTCATCTCGATGATGGTATACGCGTCGATGAAATTGCGCTCGGAGCTCGGTATACACGTATGCATCTACACCCTCGACTCAAGGGGGAGAAAAAAACCGGACATCCCGCGGTGCCCTGCATCCAGCACGCGACTCCAACCACCGTAGTAGCGCTTCGGGAGGTATGTTTGTAATGTACCGACTGGACATTGTATACAACAAACGCAAAAAGTCATCGACTTGGTTGTGTACTTACAAGGGCTGAGAAACTCGAACGGATGATTGCTCGCGAGGGTCTAGATGTCATTCCTCGAGGCGCCGACGTTGCGTGTACAATATATTTATAATGTGCAGTCGATCCGCCTTTCTTTATTATATATATATATATATGTACCTCATACATGTGCCTATCCTATACGACGACAGCTCTATTATGTCGGGGGGTGTGTATATAATATGTGCGTAACGAGGATTGTTTGGCGTGTAATGTGAGAAAAGAGAGACCGAACCGATCTCGGGGAGCCTGCCACGTATAGGTATAGGTGTATACACGTGTTTCGCGTGGGCATTGTGTGCATATATATGTATATGCACGGCTCTTTCTTTTCACTAGTCAATCTTCACGTATATATATTATACGTCCACGTGCGCGAGAGAGTCAAGTTTGCCTTTGCCCCAGTTAAAAGGGGCATTTGTTTTTTCGATCGATCGTCCTTATTTTGGTATATACAATCTTAAGGGGGGTATGGATAATTTTTTTTTTTTTTTTTTATTCCTAATTCAACCTCGTAGAAATTAACGATACATCACGACGTATGGGCGGAAGATAAATTGTAATCGATACATTTGTGAAAAAATTACAAGATTGAGTTAAACCATCGGGAGGCGCAGATTACATCGAACCCACACAAATTGAGCAATGAAATATATCAACACCCCACCCCCTATCCTACACCTCCCCAAACATAAGAAATTATATTCGCCATATATGGCGTTGTTGTATATACGTATATGTACAAGAGAAGCCGTGCGATGTGATGTGTATTACACAAAAGCCGACATATGCACTCGATTTGTCCGCGTGGCATTAAGTATACGTATACATCAGCCAACAATAATCCCTTGGCGATTAGGGGCATCATCGGCCGGGATATTCCGGGCAATATAACAACGACAACAATAACAATACACGGAGCCCCGAGTTAAACTAAACACTCGAGGATAGGCGTGCGCTACGAAAACACTTGATGGCTCCTCTCGGATTCCCCGACCGCGTACTTATAAGGGGGTGGGTATAACAAGCTCGAGCATTGATTTAAAGCACCGCCAGTATATATACGGGCTTGCGAAATTTTCTGGTTTTATTTTTTTACGGCCACGTGCGCCAAAACTTGCTTGATCGATTGATAATATTTTTCTTTTACACCCCCCATTTCCCCTCAGGGAGGGGTGGGGGGCGACGAATCGTTTTACGCAACCTGATTGTTTACTTTTTTCATAACAGTTGGCTAAAGTGATTTAGCGGTAAAAAGAATCGGAATGTTGAAACTTTACTTTTATTTTTTGCTTTAAATCCTCAAAAAAAAATATACGACAATCGTCCCCGGGGCTGCGGTGGGAAAAAAAGGGGGGCTCTCGGTAAGTATACGTATATATGCCTATGGAAGAGCAAACCAGCGAAATAGCATAAAAGCGGAAAAAAAACGAGGACGGAAAGAAAAGTGAGCAAGTGAGAGAGGTAGGGGGGGTGGGGTGAGTAAGTTTAAGCCCCCAACATATTATATACACATATATACATGCGCTTGGCTTTGAGGGGGTTGGGTGGCGGGGTAACCCTGACAACGGCACGTAACGCCGCCCACGAGGAGCGGCCCTTCGCCCCTTTTTGCGGACGTGTGTGTGTGAACGTGTAGTTTGCTCGATGATTTTGTACCAATTACGGCCTACCTATCTCTCACTCTCTCTCTCTCTCTCTTGGAAGCGCGTCGCGCCCCCTCGCGTGTCTCTTTTCTCGCGCCCCTTCGTCTCATAGTCTCGCGCTCTTTAAACTCGCAATGAGGGCCGGTCTTGAGGAGATCAGCATCATTCAACCCTCCGCTGTGCGCATCGGTATATAGATGCAGGTTTTACGAGTAATTGGAGCGCGTGACAAACCTACGCGGTTGATCTTGAAAACGGCGTTATGGCTATCTCCAATGGAATGCACGTTTTTGTCTCGTTTGAGATAAATCAACAAATTGTTGGACCTTACATGACTATCTGTACAAGCTCGCTGGAGGAGCTTTTTGAACATGATAATAAATTGTTCGAGAGTAGTCGTTTCAATGATTTATTTCACCATTCAAATGTTAATTCAACTTCATACAGGGAATATAAAGATTTTTTTTTTTTTTTTTTTTTTTTAACTGCTATTATGTGCACAGAAAAAATGGCACACCAATACTGATAAACTGCTTGTATGCATGTACAATTTGATAATGCAACATCACTTGCAATTAGAGTAAACCTGAACTGTCGTTAGAGTTAATTAACATTTATAAAGTTTGATGACAAAATCTTATTAGATGGATTTTTGTTTTCCGTCCAGCTTAACATTTGAATGAGGTAAATTAAATGAAATAAACTCAATTTCAACAGTTTTAAAGTCCTTCAAATTTCATTACATTTATTACAGGCGCTGTATCTTTTAAACTGAAAAAAAAAAAAAAAAATGTAAGAACAATTTCCAAAGGAGTAAGGTAAAAAAATAGATTACATTCAACTTGAAAGACTGGAAGCGACGCATAGCACGCGTTACTTAAAGCTTTGGCTTAAAAATACACGCGTTACAAGCAGTCGATAAGGTAGGAATTCCAAAATCTTTCTCTTGTTTCATTATTACAATGTGGTACATTCACACGATTGGTTACGTGACGTTACCAATGCTTAAAAAATTACAAATGATTATTCGCTAGATTAAATTAGTCGGTATCTCTTCAGATATAAAATTCATTCAGAATCCGTTTTTTAAACCATGGCATTCTAATTAAAAAAAAAAAAAGTCCAAACACGAGGAATTATCGTAAACAGACTATCCCAACGATAATACATCCATAGGCGGTCATTGATATATAAATGAAATAAAATTTAATTAATAATAATATTGTTACACATAAAACATATGTATGTATGTACAATAAGATTAAATTAAAACTCAACGACTACTACATACTATACGACGATTGGTATCATCAGAATCATATATTGCAACGCAATCAACGAAGTGATTATATCTTTGGCTCATCGAGCATACGCGTCAATTCATGTAGAAAAAAAACTTGTAAAAAGTGATTCTCGATTCTCACGTACAGTAAGAAATAATGACACACTTTGGTTATCGCGTAAAACGCAAAGGTATATAAACACACCGCAATCGCGCGGAGAAAAAAATAAACAAGACTAAAGTAAATTTCACACGCGCATTGTTGTTTGCACGCACACCAGGGACGCGAGCGTAAAGTCAAATTGCGTGGCGCCGTTTAAAACTTGTGTCGACTTTCGTCTCTGGCGCGCCAGGTGTTTTTGTCGTTGAAGCTCTCCGAGCCGCTGTACATCGAAAAGCCACGGCGCGAGAGCTCCTCGCCCGGGACTATCGAAGGATTCGTGTAGCAGAAATCGTCCATCATTCTCGTTTGCCTTCCAAGCTGATTGGAACTGAAAAAATGTATGTGCTATCGGTTATGTCGTTATCGCATTTCGGCCGTTACAAAAAAACATTAGTACTAATAACTTGGTTGATAAAAAAAAAGTCAAGTAGCTGGAAAATATTCGTACCTATAGCGAACTGTGTGTATGTGCATCAAACCAACACCCAAACAAACATAATGAATATTTCCAGAAGATTCGTGTCATTTGAACTGTGGCTGCACACGGGTGTGCGCTTACTACTCGCAGTTGATGTATCTTATCGATTTAGATAAAAAAAAAAAAAATAAAAAAAAATAAAAAAAAGAGCGAGCGCGATAAGCGATTAATTGCCGTGAGTAAGTGCGTGAGAATTTACGAGGCGTGTACGGATATGAGGGCAAAATGTTCGGCGAGCCATTATACCTACCGATCATCGCGATTCTCGTACTTGATATTTTTATACGAAATTGATGGTATTGCTCTTTATAATTGTATATACTTACGAGTCCATCTTGAGGCGTCCGACTCTACCGAAGAGTACACCGATGAGGATGAATATTATGAATATCAGGAGAAGACAGAGCAAAGCCAGTCCGGTTAAGGCGTAGAAGTAAATCTCCAGATCGTCGAGTTGCTGAAAATCGTAGACGTGATTGTTTGGAAAACAGGTGACTTGTGCTCTATTTTTGCTGCCGAGTCTATATAAAACGACTCCGAGGTCTGTCATGTGTATAAAATTGAACGAACCAACAAATAGAGTCGAAAAAAGTAGTAGTGATCGGTATCACTTTTAATTGAAAAGTAAAAAAAATTTTAAAAAAGGAATTAAGAAATAATAGGTGTACCTACGAGCGCGCATTCCATACATTTAAAAATTAAAGAGTGGCCGCCGCATAAGTAGTTTCAAGGTTTGCTGTAATAATTTGGTTTCTGTCAAGTCCCCCGTTGCCCCATGCAGGAGGCGAATGTTTATGGTTTACCGTTCCCGCGAATGTTCACAAGGAGGCGTAGCTCTTGTTGCGACATCGATCAGGATGAGGAAACGCGTATATCGAGCCAATAATTAAAAAGGTCGCCTTGTGAAGTTTCGCAAGAGTTTTTTGTTACAAAAAAGCTGTCAACCCACAACACAATAGTCAAACATTGACTTGACATTTACAAATGAGTGGACAAGTAACCAACTACGTACATGGATGAACCTTATACATGATGAAGAAAAAATAAAGGAATTCATGATGAACATCGTCAGGTGTAAGCAAATACAGAGTTTCGCAAACCCTCGGCTACATGGCCACTGAACGCGTTTGCGGTAGTACACAATAGCCGCAAAAAAAGAAAGAACTTACACACAAGTAGGTACACGTGTACAGCTATCGGAAAAGCCGCGCGTCGAACCTCCTGCAAGTACAGAATTCAGGTGTACGCATGATGGGTAAGTATCCTCATGGCAATAGACAGCGGAGAGACAGAGAAAGATGTGTACGTGCGTGCTTAATAATTACCCGTATAAATATAGCGATGGCCCGACAATAAGCTACACGTAATATGCGACGTTGGGTCACTTGCCGGCCGGCATAAGTGCAAAGTATATACATCTCTTACACGCGTATACATCATTATATATACGCATGTACCCACGTGTATTACGAGAGTAGGTGTACATAATGACGCAAGGAGCAAGTACAACGTATATAAGTACATGAACGTGTGTACACACTATGAGATATGGATACACAGTTGGGAGAGAATTTGCATAGAAAGTTGCGGTTTTCGCGATGGGTTGGCGAGATCGCGATCGCGGTTATCACAAGACGTGTATATACATATGCATCGGTATATACTTTGTATTGTACACGAGGTAGCTTATTCAGCTTCTTTTTCACGCTACCTTTTATTATTTACTATGGTATTACGCGTATACGCGTATCGATGCAATATCTATACACGTATACATTATGTAGGTGGCTATTGAGTTCGCAGGTAGAAAAAAAAAAAAAAACCATTGTTTGTTTTAAAAACGATTAGGATGGAACCTTGTACATTTTTGATAAACCAAAGTGATTGATGCGCAACAGATAAGTAGTGAAAATTTTGGTAAAATGCCTATCGCCAATCGTTCTCTTGAATTTCGGTTTTTAAATTTACGTCTTCTTGGGAAGTATACAGCCAATTATTGTATATACTCATTGTTCCGCTCACTTGAAAGAACCGTAATGACTTTTCTTTGAAATTGCTTTTAGGTACACGTACACACACCGTGTGCCATCAACTTTATGATTACTCGTGGTTTTCATTCGTTTGTACGTTATGTAAAAACGTCTACAAAAAGATAGGGCACACATACGGACTTTTGTTTGCACGTCCGATGTACAATAAAAATGCCCAGTCGAGCCCATTTATGATCTACACGTTGACAATTATTGTTGCTACACTGTACAATCCAACGTGACAGTGGCGAAATCTCACTCTACAGCGCTACTTTCACAACAAGTCCACGAAAATGGTACCGCTGAGTTAGCTGATGTATCAATAGAGTGCCATTGACGAATGGCAAGAAAAACGTACCTTTATAAAAAAAAGAACTCGACAGCAAAAAAAAGTATTTTTTAAAAATAAAACACTTGAAGCGTTAAAGTATCGTGCACATAATACATGTACTTACCATGTTATATTATCTTATATCTTAGGGATCCTCAAAAATGGCAAAAGTAAAAAACTTTTATTTCGTCCTATCTTCCTCGGGGGCAGCGCATCAAAGTTTCACCATTACATTTATATGATCGAATAAGTCACATGCGCTCACTTCCTCATCCCGATGATGCGGCGTATAAATATGCAGTCGGACGCTCGCCTCCTTCGCATATCGCTACTACCTAACCATTGTACCGCCGAGATTCCCAGCCGCGATGAGTTCCGCGTTCATCTCTCGGCTAAAGATTTTTCCATGTTATTAGTAATGCCAACAGAAGTAAGTATTTATACATGCATGAGAAATCATTTCGCTCCTACACACGTAACACATACATACATATATGTACGCGTACGCGTGTGTTTTATTGTTTATTGGAAACGTGAACTCGTTGAAAGACCTTTATTTTCTTTTTTGGGGTCAAGGAAAAATTACTTTATTCACGCGTGCCGTTATTGTACCGTTGGAGGTGTGCTAAAAAAATGTTCGATTCTATTATTTACATCAATATGCATTATTTGCTGTGAATCCGAGGGAGAAAAACAAAATCGAGTATAATTACAAACGGTTTCGCCACTTTGTGTAAATGTATTTTCGTCGATCGAGTAGTTCGATCTCATCACCGAACTCGTCACATCCACAACGAGGACAATGTGATTTTCCGAGTTTTAATCGTGACTAATTGAATTCTCATCTCCACGTTAACAATCATCGGGACTTTTATGTAATTTATATATACATATATATATACATACACGTTCCGTAACGCGATGACCGAGTGCGTTATTTTTCACTGTTGACGTCGAGGCGACTCTTATCTCTTGTTGAGGATATTTTTCGATACGACACTTTTCCCGCATCAAATGCGTTTTGTGAAAAGAAAATAAAAAAGTGCGCATTATGGAAGTAAAACAATTAATACGTGTTTAAGAGTCACCGAAAAAAGTTAGCTTTTGAATTATCGACATATCGGTACGCGCGGATCAAGAAAATCATCAGCTGATGGTCGATCACGTGTGTGTGTCGACTCCATCGGTGGAACGATCGATAAGGAGCTTGTGATATGTAATTAACTTAACGGTCCGAAGAATTCAAAATTACCTCTGAAAAGACAAATAATTATCAACAGTTTCGATAGCTTGTTTTTCTCATCGGATTGCGTAATGAAGTATTTTAATGTTCGATGCTTCAGCGAGGCAAACTTGTGCGATAAGCAAAAAAAAAAAAAAAAATTAATTGTGATACGGTACGTAAAGATATTGTTATTTCTCATCCCGTTGAACGATTTTGGGTGAAAAAATGAGAAAATATGATAATAAATCGGTTACTCCATTAAATCGTTCCTCCTTTGCACAGTAGAAAAAAAAAAAGAAAAAATCGAAATCACTTCACTTTCGCCGTAGATTTTAAACTACGACAAAACAAAAGAAATAAAAAAAAGGTGTACTTATTTCCCCAAAAGTATGAACAAACCGATATTCACCATGAAAAACGACGCTGTACGCAGAAGAAACCGCCCAAAGGAGAAAAACGTGCGCCGCGCGCGACGATCCACTTGGAGCGCTAAACGAACACTGAGGCGCTCGATCGTCAGGTGCGCTATAGCAGCAACGCCGACGACGGCATTTATGATAATACCTCGCCGATATACCTCGTGCTCTCTTGCCCCTCTTTTGTATAGTTTATGAAATCGTCTATACTTGGTTGATGCCGATTGTTATACACATGATGGCTATATCATCGCTCATCTCGCTCGCGCTGAGCGACTCTTTTTTCGCTGTAGCTATCCATATCCTCTTTTGCTCAACGATGGAAAGACCTGGTTTTTGTGGATCGGTTTTCTCTAATTTGAATTTTTTTCCCCGTTCATACCTACAATCACAAGTATTAAAATTAAATGGTACTCGGCTACACGAGATAAATATGTTTGTGGAAATCTTGGCTTGATCAGTCAATCAGCAACATGTTACTGTATACGTGTGATGTGCTCCGTACCAAAGAGAATCAATGTAAATGTTTACACTGTATATACATTGTAACTGCCACATCACTTTGATACGTGCAAGGACGGTATAATACTTATGGGCTGATTATAACTACATTTTTTCTCTTGTCTGAAATGGAAACATATGGTTTTTTTGTACTTGATTCTTGAGTAATAATTTATACGCGAGCTGTAAACGCGCATTTTTTATCTAACTTTACGATGGAAGCATTTTTGACACTTATTTTCTACTTGTACCTTTTCATACGCGTAGCGAACAACTATTGTATACTATTGTCACTTGAATGAGTGTACTATTTCCTCGGCACCACTTTCACCATGACATAAGTATTACAATTACGTCAGTGAAAAAAGAAAATAATATTGTAAAATTTCCAGTTGATTGTAACAGCTAAGACGAACCGTATACTTACTTGTTTTATCGTAAAATTCTTTTTCGTGCCTTGCTCAATAACTACGCGTGTATAATTATAGTGTCCTACTTAACGAGTTCAAGCGCAACAAAATTTTTATTGCTTTGTAAACACTTTTTATGGGTACCTCAAAATAAGAACTGATATACTTCTTTGGAGTGAAGATAGTCTATCAGTAGGAAACTTTCAACAAAAAGGCATCCCTAAGTACAAGTAAAATTTGTCTCTTATTCCGACAATACGTCAGTAAGTCTTCATATACCGAGGTACAGTTGGAAAACATTATAAATATTATTTTGCAATTTTTAGAAGTTTAAGAAGTAATATTCTTTGTTCAAAGTTCTGTGAATTGTCTAATAAAGATCAAACTTACCTTCACAAGGATTTATTTCGAAAATTGCGTTCATTCACTAAACAAAAAGTGATATAAAACCATGTGGTTCTACTAAGTACCCATATAAGTTTGAAACATGAATTTCGTAACTTGTTGTCCGTGAAATATGAATATTACGTACGTAATTATACTAACATGAATTTCGTCATTGGTGGTCATAATCCAATGCAAGTATGATCCATAATATGTTTCAATACTCGTACTAAGTTATTAATTTTTTCAAGGTTCATAAGAGCGAAATGTCACCAAAACTTTGTATATGTATATTGGGGAGTATTTTAATATTTTATCCTTCAAAACATCAGTGGATAGCTCTTAATTTAATAAATTAAATATAAAACTATTGAAAATTATACATACATTGAAGGCACTTCCATGTTATCATCATTAATTACTTTGAACTATATAAATGTGTTAAACGATGAATTCCGAGTATTTGGTATCTTTTGATAACTGCCAGTCCATTATCCACTGCATACAGTATGGCAGAGCCATGGATACACTGATGTACATATAATACGGAATGGGTCGAGTAGAGCCAAAAGGCCAAAACCACAATCCTCTCCTATTTCCATCCCTTATATGATGGCTTAAAAAACTCCCAAAGATCATCCAAGAACAAATTATCAAGTTTGTGGAACTCGTTAATTTGGCAATAACATTCATCACTGCCCACAGTACTATTGGTATAGTAGTGCAGTGCAAAAATGGTCTGTACTTTAAATGAGTTGCATCCTAAAATTAGAATCATTTATTGCTTTAGTTGAATAGATAGCCCTCTTAAATGAATTGAGATTCCTCACTTCCTTACGTTAATATCCATACTTTCCGCAGCAATGAAATGATCAACATCGATCAAAGATGACATTAAAAAGCATATAATTATACTTCGCAAGTACTCAAATGCAGATTTTTTTGAGATAATTATCACTAGAGCCCAGGTGATGCCACCAACGGTGGCATGTGTCAAATTGTCAGACAGGGCTCTGACAATTTCGGTTTTGCCATTTTGTAATCCTACATCACCAGTATAAGACACAAATCCAATCAAACTAGTTAGGAATGCTTGCAATACAAAACGTTGCTGTAATTTTAACATGGTCCTTCACAACTTTACACCAAATATAACTTGTCAGTTATTTGGTTGGTAGTTTGGTAATTGTTAACTAACATTTTTTAATGACAAATGATTTCTTTCTGCTCTCAAATGACATATTTGTTTAGAACTGACAATCAACTAACCTAAAAATAAAAAAATATACAGTTTACAATATTCTTGTAAGAAAATCTTGTTGTTTTTAACTTTTATTACGACAAAATCATCTACATTCTTATCGCTGTACAAATGAGATGATGAAGTGCAACGCGATAAGCGTAAATTAAGAGTAGTTTCATCTTACCTTAAACGTCAAAAAGTCAAACTTTCGAAAAGTCCGCCTCTTTCTTGGTTGCGTCTATGTACGATCTGTCCATCATTTTGTTTTTAATTTGTTAGAATACAATGTAACTAACACTAAAAAACCAACGAAAAATTGCACTTAGCAACACTTATTTTCATATCAATTCTTTTTGTTTTATAAAATTTACATCATCACCAGTACCTATATACTTATCACCACTATACAAAACAAAAACAAAAAAAAGAATTATAAACAGACGTCACGCAGTTAGCAGAAAAACGAAGAGCACAGAAAAGGAGCCCAACCAATGAAAAGAAAGAAATGATGCGCCTGGCTTTGATTTTGATTTCTGATTCGCTGCGTCCAACACGCGCACAAACAATCTCAGCTTAGAACGAAAGTGTATTTCATGGCAGTTTGTTTTGGCTGGATCTTCTCTTCCAATGGTCCCATCAAATTAGCGCGTCCTGCCTCCCACCAAGTCCCACCTATTGGTATACCTGCTCCAATACCTGTACCTGTGTATAACTCACACATACTATTATTCTTATCGTTATATTGACAAACCCAAAGACGCCCTTCTCTGGACGACTGACTAGTGAGTAACCTTGGCAGTGTACAAAAAAAAAGACATTTTTGTATACAGGAGAAGAAGCAGTTCTTCGAATCTCGGAAATCATCAATAAAACTTTGCCATCAGAGGCAAAATAAACATCAAGTGTGCACAATGTCGGCCAACACTGCAACTACTTCTCCCAAGGTATCTTAATCCCTTAATCTTTGAAAACTTACCTGTTCATTTTTTAGCTGTACTCTATAGTGCTTGACTACATTGTCTCCTCGTGTTCAAATAAAACTGTGATTTTTATTTATTTATTTTGTTTTTTTTTTTTACTAATCACCAGAAGCACTTTCGTTACTGTCTATAAACTTTTTCCAGCCTACCGACATTAAACGAGAAGATTTTCGCAAGTATCTAGAACATGCAGGAGTCTTGGACTCCTTGACCAATATATTGATAGCATTGTATGAAGAACAGGACAAACCTGACGATGGTACAGAGTATCCTTTTTTACTCATGTATTGCTCTAACACTTTGATCCCAGTAGGAAATTTGAACAAAATTTAATTGCTTGTTGTACGTTTTGAAACTTGCATGAAAATTAAAAAAAAAAAAAAACCATAATTTTTTTTAATCACATAAATACCCTAAAACCTTACTAAAACGTAGTGACGCTATTATGTTATAAATTGTTTGTACTGAAAAACTACATAAGGTGTATTCCTTAACAGATTTTAGATATTTCCGAAAATATTTTGCCAGTGAAGCAGTTGAGGCTCACAAAAAAGCAGAAGTAGATGGTTTAAAGCGGGAACTGGCTGAGGCAAAGGCTGTTATTGCAGAGTTAAAGGAAAAAATCAAACAATTAGAAAAAAGTTCTCCTGAGAGCACGCAGTAATCTTAAATTCAATAATTAAATATTCCACAATCATTTTATCAACTTTTGACGAGAATATCAAGTCTATTTTCCCTGAAAAATGTGCCTTATAATATTTTCCATCTTATCGTATGGTAGGAGTACTTTTGTCTCAAATTAATATATTGTTTATCGTTGTTGTAGTATTTCAAATAAAAAATGCATCAGTACTTAATAAGGCACTTGATATACAAGTGTAACTCAAATGCAAGGCACAAATTTTATAAAATAAAATGTTTCTGTATGCAAGAAACCTAATAGCTTTCCATATACAAGATCTCGTTTTGTGAGATCCCACATGCAATATTAAAATTTAGTATATGTGTTCACTATTTTTAAAATTTAAATTCTACATGTAGTAAGAAATAAAATATTCCGAAATGAAAACATTTATCAATATTGATGTATTATTCATATATTATTTTGTCATTTAATATTAAGGAAAGGAAATAAAAAAAGTTTTTGTATGAAATAAGCTTTATTTTAAAATATTTTTGTTTTTTGTATTATATAAAATTTTGCTCTTCAATTTTCTTTGTCAATTCATCGATCGTTTGATGCACAGACTATATTTAAAAAAAATTCTGTGCATTCAAGTTCTTAAAATTACGTCATTAAACAGATAAACTATTTTATTTTAATGTTTCAACTCGATTAGTATAAAGATATTTAACAAACCATTAATAAACACAAATGTAATAGAAACTTGGACGAATGTTTACTAATTACGAGTAATAAACTTTTTGCAGTATGCAAAAGTGGTAGTGTGATAAGATGTTGAAAAAAAAAGTCAACAAAAAAGATAAAATTTAAAAATGAACGTAAGTGAGTGCCAGATGTATCATTTATTCCATACACAATGAAAAATTCACAAGATGCTAGGCATAAGTTTTTAATAAGCTGTTTTCATCACTTGTTCATTCATCTCTTGTTTCAAGCAAACACGATTGTAATAAATAAGTTGTTCTTATATTTTATGTTAATCACTGATTAGTATGCAAACATCAGATTCAAACACTTTTTATTGGGCCTTTGTAGTTTGTCTTCTTTTGACATCCCAGTTGTATACTCTTGCCATGTTAACTTCTGTTGTCGTGAACTGATCTCTAAGGAAATCCAAGTCATGTTCAACATAGCCCAAGTTCTTTTTTGCCGCCTGAATGTTCTTTGTTAAAAGTTCTTGAGCATCATTGAGAGTATACTCAAGCATCACATTAGCTCCCAACCAGAGGCATACCCTGTCTGTGGGTGTAATGGTTGCTTTGGCATAGACTTGATCCGAAAGTACAAACCGCGTCTCCATGTCTTGGCTGTTGTTTTTTTCGTCTTGAAGCTTCTTTATCATTTCCAGTGAGTTTTCCAAATCAGGAATCTGTTCCCTCAAACGTCTGCGCTTGTTCACTAAATTGTATTCCATAAATTTGTATTTGCTGTGATTCTCATCTAGCCATTTGAGTACTTTTTCGACCGATCCATTATTCTCTGGTTTGGCCATAAACGCATCAACATCTTCCTGAAATGTTTAATCATATTTGCAAACAATGCGCTAAATACTACTAAATGTTCAGGATATATATAGATGGAATAGTAACACAACCATATATAAAGTGGCTTAGAAAATAGCTGTCTTAGTAAAAACAATTAGTACCACCGATAAATGGAAAATAACTTTGATTAAAATTTTTAGTTAGAAATGGCAAAATACTTATAAATTTGAAAAAAATAATAATAAACTTGGTTTGGAAAAATACTTTGAGGTTAAGTCACAGGATAATAGAAAAATAACAGAGATGCAGAATTACCACAAATTCGGCTTCAGGAATACCAGCGTAGGACTTATTATTTTCAGGCGCGTCAATTTCCTTTTTACTTTTGTCCTCTACGTCCATTTTTTACTATTTGCACTAAAAAAATCTCTTACACCTACAAGTTCGGCTGCAAAGTTTTCAACTTTTCAACTTTTGTGTTTGTGTGTGCGCAGTGGGCACACGCGCACTTTTTTTTTCTCATTTGCGTTATGGCGGGAAATATTAGCATTTTCAAACGCGTAGAGTATACTTACGTAGTTCTTTGACTCGAACACAAAACTTTTCGGTAAGTATTTTTATTTTTTCATCAAAATTTCATTGCTAAATTATTGCGTTGGTTAAATAAATGCATACCTACACTTATTGGTACACATCGAATTCTCAAACTAAACCAAATAAGCGATTGCTCTGTATGGAAATTATGTCAATCCCCACAAAAACGGTTTTCTTTGTCATCCGGAATGGTAAAAAAATATTGCTCATAATTGTCTACTATGATGAACCAGATAGCAAACATTTTTCATAGTGTTAAAAAAATATATATATAATTCAACACACAAATAATTATTGCTCGTGCACGAAATTACAAATATTGAAAATTCACCAATAAACGATATAGACTTTGGATGCAAAAGAAGCATAACAGAGTAAAAATGTTTAAATTTCTCAAACAAAGTTAATTTTACGAAATTGTTGTATCAAAGTGGCTGAATGTTGTTAAAACTCTTTGGGACATAAAGTGTGTATTATTCTTATTTATATGTATGGATACACGAATTCACCAAGCATTACATGCTAAAAGATGAGGAGTACAAAAATGTTAAAGCTGCACGTGCGTGCGTCAAAATCAGGTCAATCACCATTGACCGACGCATCGGACAGTTTGTTGCACCTAATGTGTAATGGCGGCACATTAGAGATAAATGACACATGTGTCATTGAGGAATACGTGCATACTCTTTTTTGTTCTTTTTAGTTTTCGAATTCAGTACTTTGACGATCCATCACTTGTTATTTAATGATAATGTAACTGCTGTTTATTTAAAAAATTCTACGCTTGGATGTATTTATACTTACTTGTTACGTTTCGAATCTATGTTAAGTGAATAATTAATTGTTTTTTTTTGTTTTTTTTTGTATGTTACACCGAATAGTCAATCAGCTATTAACCGGTGGAAAAATTATTCTATAATAAAAAAAAAAAAAACAAAGTTACTGGTAATGTTTGTAGTAAATACCATTATTATGATTATCATTACTATATACGTGTACAAATATACCATTATTATTTTGATAAAGTGTGTAATTGTAAGATCAAAGCAAATAGAGGCAATGGACGTGATACTTACGCGTCAATACAATATTATGTACTTATATGCACACAAGAGCCGACAAAAAGAAATTGAGGGATACATAGCATATTAGCAAGTAGGTAACAAATAATGGTAGTAACGTAAGTAAGTAAGTAGAAGCGGAACGAGCCCGAAATTGCCTTCAAGTGCATTTATATTGTGTATATATATGTATATATACATGCATACAGGTACAAACCATACCACGAGCCGTCGTCGACGTCGATTTGCCCCAACAACCAACTGTAATATAATATAATGTAACAGCCGACGACGACTGAGCCGACCCATCACCGCTACCGACACTGTAATCGGTAACGCACACCCACATTTTATTTTATACGTATACAACTTCATTGCACACGTAAGCGTGATCGTTATGAGGAAGTGAAGCAGAGATATTATACACGTACGGGGGGCACCTGTCACGAGACCTAAACGTCCATCACAAAATCGACGCCTATCGTGGAAAACATTTCGATTTTTCCATGGGTAACATTTTCAGAAAACTTAAAATTTTCAACACCGATACTCCATGGGATCGGTACTGTATGAAAATGTACGCGATTACCGATCATTTTGAAAAAAAAAGAAAAAAGTTTAATCAAATCGACAAAAAAAAAGTAGAGCTCGGGAAGACAAACGAAATGATTATTTTTGCGCTGTGCATGTCAAGTCAGTTTTTCTCGTTGCAAACTGTATACGTAGTTGGGAAAAAAAGCGAAAAAAAAAAGAGAGAGAACAGCTCCGACACCGTTAAAACGCGCTTCTTCGGGAACGAAGAAAAACAAAAATCCCTCTCCGTACCGTTTGCTCGTTTTCCTTTTCTCAATTACCCCGTCATTGTAAAACACGTTAGGCAACACAGTAGCCTTAAATTGCCCACATACAGCGAGGGCAACCAAACAGAAGTAAAATTTCTTTTACACTCTACAAACAAATTTTTGACGGAAAACACTGCAAAAAAAAAATTAAAGTACTTACGACGATATTTCCAATGATTCCACCCCAAACATTTATGCTCCATCAATACTGGAAACTCGTCGCCCGCGTGAGGTGAGGATTTTCATGAGCCCAGAAATGATAGTTATGNCATACAAAAGATGCAGGAAATGAAAAAAAAAAAAAAAAAAAAAAAAAAAAAAAAAAAAAACACCTAATCACGCTTATTTCAGCAAAAATCCAGCCGCGTTGGATGTGACAACGGAGTCACCGAAACTGCGCGATTTTTCGCGCGATGCCGCACTTTCGAAATCGCACCCCGGCGCCGAGTGACGAAATATTGTGATGATTAGGTACATAAAATTAGCGACGCGACTAATGCCATTCCTTCACCCCTTTTTTTTTTGTTTTATTATTGTCAAGCTGTAAAATGGTACATTAAGAAACGTCGAGTAGACTCTCCTGATGCCAGCCTCGCGAGTATAATGTACGAAAAGAGAGTGTAAGTATATAATATGTAATAGCGATTAAAACGAAGGAAGCAGCTCCCCGACAAAAGTGATTAATGGCGTTACACGTAGTACAACAACCATGGCAGTGTGGAGCAATGAGGGTCCTAGTGGAGAGAGAGACGAGGGGGCCAACCAGCCATATTATACCATTATACGGCTACAGTGACATTTTGTGAGGCTGTGGAGGAGAGCAGTGCAGCGCGAGACACCCATCATAGCCCATATGAAGCAACGCGCGCGACAGAGGCTATCTCTATAATATGGAAGATAATAGAGGAGAGCCCATACGCACGGAGCCTCGGTCGGGGCCCCCCTTTTTTTTTTCACTCTCGTCAGTCGGCTCCCGGTGGCGCGCCTGTTCTCACGTATCGGCATCCGTCCGCGCGATCGCCTCGGTTTCACGCGGCCTCTGCTGTATTCGGTGCGCATATAATATACCGATCATCGAATCTTCCAAAATTTCACCGCCGATTTTCTCCCTACCGAATACAAACAGCTTCGGCGAGTTGCCTTTTTGTTTTAGTTTCAAGTGCCCAAGCGAACTTTAAACTTTAAACTGGCACTTGGTGCAAATTGTCGAATTATCGGTAATTTTTATTGTTTCGCTGTACGCGTTGTTTTAAATGTAAACAGTGAAGTTTCGATTGGATGCTCAAATATGTATAGTTACATACGTGTGTTTGTGTGATCAAACGTGCTTTTGAGTTGTTGTTGTTGTTTTTTTTGTTGTTTATAAAAAGTGCGAGCAAACTTATACCTGTATCGGTAAAAAAATCGGCATCACAAGTTGCAGGGAAGCACCAAAAGAAGATTAAGAGAGTTTTTTCGGAGAAAGCGCAAACCGATCCGGCAGGGGAGCCGTTATACGCCGAAAGCCGTCGCGTTGCAACTTGAGAGAAGAGACTTTGGAATCTGCGTGAGAAATATCTTGGCATCGCGCGCCACGACTAATAACGCAGAGCTACATAGTGACTCATAGCACGAAAGAATCGCCTCGTATGCGTATTTGAGAAGAAAATCGTCATCCACCTCGTGCCTTTTTGTACCAGCGCCCGAGAGTCGTGTCAATAATGAGCCGCGTTCAGCTGAAGCCGGGGAGGGCCCAACGATGATTATCGCGGCGATAACGATTGCCCTGGGAAGTATGCCGGAGCGGTAGATCATTGCGCTCAAGGGACCCACGCACAATATCCCAAAATACATTAGAGGGCGATATCGGCGAGGGAGAGATTATATTATGACAAGGGATCGGACAACGTGGCTGTGGCTGTTGCTGCTGGTGAGGCTTGGGGCCCACGAGTGCGCCTATCTGCCGGAGGAACTGCAGGAGGCCCGCACCCCAGAGCCGAAGAGTATCGAGGATCGGTGCAGTGCGGGCTGCGAGAGCGTCGACGACGAGCAGGCAGGTTTTTTTTTTTTTTTTTTTTTTTTTTTTTTTTTTTTTTTTTNTTGTTGCAATTTTTTAAGTCGTTTGGATATTGTGTGACTGAATTTCTTTTTTTTTTTTTTTTTTTATAATTTGTAAACACACGCAGTACAAGGGACTTTATTTTACCGCGAGCCTGGTTTTAGATTGGGTGTGTACGTTGACACGCTTGGGATTTCTCATCCACAAATTCTTGCTCCTCGCGACCATTTGGATTTTTTTACCAGCCAACCGTTGAAAAAGTTTTAGGATAAACGTGCTTTCGCATCACGGTTTCCCTACCGATCTTGAGATCGGGAAAAATTTTCATTCAGATTTCCAACGCCCGTTCCTCCGATCGTAGATGGTAATGTAGGGTGAAACGTATGGGCGAACGTGACGTCAAATTCGTTATCGCGATCGAGGTTTTCAATTGCATGGGCATACCTATAATATATCAACTGCGAAGAAAAAGCATAAAAGACACCTTTTTTTTTGTATCAGTGAATTTATTTCTATTGCACGCAGAGGTGGGCATATTTCAATTATACCTACGAATATTATAGTTACATTTACTTTTAATGTATACTGGCAAACTTTTGGGTGAAAATAATTTTCAAGAAGAAGCGCACTGTCAATAATAATGTAAGTATGCAACGAAATCAGCCCCCCAAGACTCCTCGTATCAACTTTTGTTTCAGTTTATCAATCCAATCCCAACAATTGGATGATTTATTTTGAAACCATTAATACGCATTATTTCATTACTCCAACTGATGCTTGAATTGATATTGGCGAATCAACAATTGTACGTCGTGTAAGTGGATAGGTACATGCGTATTCGCGCATGCCTCAATTTTCTTTGCCCCCCCCCCTTTTCTTTTTTTTTTTTTTTTTCTTTCCTTTTTGTTTTTCA